CACTGGTTGTAAATCAGCTGGTCAGCTGTTGTCCTGTTCACATTAAATGTCAGATTAAAAGTTCACTTCTGTGTAAAAATATGTTACGTTTCTTTACCAATTTATTTGTTTTATGGTAACTGTAGGAAAAATATAATGTGCAACTCGAGTGCAAAGTGCAATTGCCTCACTCGAGAAACAATTCCTCACTCGTCTACGGCTCATGAGTAAGGATTTCTCTCGAGTGAGGCAATTGCTCACTTTGCTCACTAGTTGCACAAATAACTATTTCCTACAGTCACCTGTCAAAGTGGGCTTCCTTGCACTGATTATAGTACAGAAAGTTGCTAATTGCTGCATTAACTTACTTTTGCTGCACTCTTGTTTTTGCCATACTCCAGTATTCCAACCAAACAACACAAAACAGCGTGCTTTTATTAGGCACGTAATACACGTACGCTTGAAAATAAGTTGGTAACACCTTAAGATACTACAACTACAATCAGTTGGTGCAGCGTTTCCCATTTCGTTCAACGCCTGGATCCTAACCTAAAAACGTGTGGTATAGTGTTTGAAAGACTAATTATTAATATGCTTTATAATAACCGTAGGGAAAATATAATGTGTAACACGAGTGCAAATTGCCTTTGCTGCACTCGACAAACTTTCCACACTCCCCGCCGGCTTGTGCGTAAACATGTCTCTTGTGTGCAGCAAAGTACCTCTTTGCACACTAGTTACAAAAATAACTATTTTGCCCTAAAGAAGTTAAAATTACTTTTCACGCCTCCACAGTAAGAAGCATGTTTACAATGAATAGGCCTAAATAAAATATATTAAAAGTAGCTCGGCTATTTCTTTTGGCTTTTATTCATTTTAGAGTTTATTTTATTTATTTATTATTATCACGTTATATTAATGTTTGACAAGTAATTTGTCTTAAAACTAAAATCTATTGAAACAAACAAATAATAACAAAAACCAAAATACCAAATACTTAAAATAATTGGCCTAATTATACGTTTTCTACGAAATCTTCAAGTGAATATACAAACAAAAATTAGTAATATTGTGTTTGTCTTCAGAATATTTTTAGAAGGGTTGGTAGCAGAGTCAGCTAGGTTTTGCCTGTTGTACCAATGCCATTGTTTTTAGTTAATGACCTTTTGTTGTCAAGGTCAAGATTCTGTTGTGAACATGTCCACTTCATGGCTGCATATGAAGGTTTTTTTTACTAAGAATGTTACACATACTAACTAAAGATTTGAAGTAGGCTAGATATATTTAATATACTAATCTTTTAACCTTTTTTGTTATTTCGAATGTTCGTATAGTTAAGGAGTGTAAATTCTGTAGCAGGTTGAATTAGATTTGATGAAACCTCCGTTTAGTTTAGAAGAGGTTTTACAAAATAACCTATTCTGTACTTTTTTTAACTACATAATCATATTAATATTTAACTAGTGTACATGTTGCTCGAATTCGAGCAATTGCAAAGTATAACAGGAGTTATTTCAAAACGAATAACAGTCATATTTACAATGAATTTAAAAGAGTCAACTCAAAGATTACTGGTGTGTAGGCCTAACTCAGACCATGTTTATCTTTGTTATTGATAAACCTAAAGCATTCCGGCCGGTTTTCTCCTTCTCAAAATGCCTCGCTGTACAGTCAACACAGGTCATTGATAGAGGGTCAATTGAGAACGAAAAGTCTTTTTGGGGTAGGCCTAGTGTTAGGGCGCATTTTTAACCTAACAGTTGAGCCTATTACGTGTCACTGTTCTGTAGCTGCGGTCGTTATCACGATTACGCCTCCTGTCTATGTTTCATTGTCGTCGCGTCGGAGGCATTGAAAAGAAAAAGACAAGAAAAGAAATAAACAAGTTATAGCTACACAAAACAACGATAAATGCACAAATTTAAGTTACAATCATACTAACACGATCCGTCATAGCAACACAAAACAGCGATGAATACACAAATTTAAGATCCAACCATACTAACACGATCCGTCTTGGGGGTTATGTTTACACAAACTCAAATAGTGATAAATGTACTCAATGCGTTTAATTGAATTGAAAAATAAATAACAGCAATTAAATTATACAGCTGATCAAAATATAAACAATGATGTTCTTCATAAGGATAACATGGGAACTTTCAAAGCCACCGGGGCAGAGCCCAAGGGACTTTTTCAAAAATATAAGGCCAGTTTGCAAATCTACAAGACACGCTCTTTCCAATGAGACTTCAATGGATAAAATCGTTTAAGAAATGGCGGAGGAGTTCAACCGACAAAGTTTCATGTAGCGTATTAATTATATAGATTTTTACATGAAATCTGTTTTCAATTATTGATGTTTAAGGCACGATTTAATTGTACAATGTCAAACATCATATTAAATTGTATTTTTTATCAACTCAGTTTACGATGTTAATTTTTACAATGTCATCCAACTTTGAAATAAAATATCCAACAATAATGTTCCTAACGCTATTGTAGGGCATTTAGTTTAGTCTTTCTAAGACATCAGTGTTAATCATAGAAATAGGTCAACACTGATAAGTCTTTTATCATATTAAATGTCAATTGACCCCCTTAATACACCTGTTGTTTGAAAAAGACTCCTAGTTTCTTTTGTTTGATAAGTTGTTTTTTTAGGTTTTCTTGTGTAGGTCTAAAAAATATAAGTAAAATGCTTGTAAAAACTGAGCAATCTCATCATAGATTACTAATTTGTATTACTTTTTACTGCTGTCTTGTAAATGAGGAAAGTGTAAGCTGTAATACATTCCTCAGTTATAATTGGCAGAATCAAACCGATCTGATAAAATTTTCTATCTGGTAATATTAGAACATTGTTTTTGATATTATTGTGACAGGGGAGAGAAGTGACAAAAAAAGAAAAAATCCTGTGAGCTGAAAGTTATACCTGTGTGCACTGTGCAGTATCCAATAGTCAATGGCATGGGGCGATGTCTACTTGTACCGGCGTCTAGTTGTACCTGCTGCATTTTGGTGACAGGCGTCTAGTTGTACCTCGTCCAAAGCTGTAGGTACAACTTGACGATGGTGCGGACGTCTAGTTGTACCTACGTCTAGTTGTCTCTACGTCTAGTTGTACCTCTTAAAAATCTGCAGGTACAACTAGTCGGGTACGCTACCGTCTACTTGTACCTCATACGTCGCGTCTATTTGTACCTACGACTAGTTGTACCTACGACTACTTGTACCTACGACTACTTGTACCTACGACTACTTGTACCTACGACTACTTGTACCTACGACTACTTGTACTTACGACTAGTTGTACCTACGCCTACTTGTACCTATGGCTAGTTGTATCTCCCCTTCAACTTGTCACCAGTTTAAGGGATTTATTAATTTATGTAGTAGTGTTTTTGTATGGTATTAGTCACGACCAATATTACAATATTAGTTTAGTTGCAGACTACATAGCCAGTGTACACATACCTAGCTCAGTATCAAATTTAGTTTATATAGTTTAACTAGCTTCTCTAGTTTGTTTGAAATGGAAAAATTTCCAATCACATGTATTATTTACTGTGTATGTTAAATAGAGAAGTCTGTACATTGCATATTATTTTTGGTCGAGTTTTCAACCACTGGACCTCAACTTCATTGTACACTTCGTTGTTCATTGTTCACTGGGAAATCCATTGTAAACTATAAGAAATGCACTCTAATCAATGCAAATACTTTAAGGTTATGTGAAATAATATTTAAAGGAATCAGCAAAAATAGTAATACATAATTGCTAGGCAGCGGTCTATTGCAATTCATTAAGGATATACTGCGTGTATATTTAATAATATATATAAATGTTTTAATTAAATAAGCGATTTTCGGTACTAGGGCTGGAAAATTTTAATTACAACTATAGCTGTCATTTCGACCCTGGACAGCAATGAGTAGCTTTCAGCCTCCAATTAACGTCTGTAAAACTACTAAAACATCGTAGTGCGGTGAAAAATATTTGCCAATCATACTCAAACACAGCAGTTTCTGATTTAATTAAGGGTATTATTAAAATGTACTCGTGCAGTAATCAATTAAACAGGGTAACGAATTGAAGGATAGATACAATTAGACTGTAAGGACGCAAAATACTTGTAGGTACAACAAGTCGTAGGTACAACTAGTCGTAGGTACAACTAGACGTAGGTACAACTAGACGTAGGTACAACTAGACGTAGGGATCACTAGTCGTAGGGACCACTAGTCGTAGGGACAACTGGTCGCATCCATACAAGCTAGGTGATACTACTTGTCGGTGGGATTCACGTCTAGTTGTACCTACGTCTACTTGTACCTGCGTCTAGTTGTACCTCCTAAAAATCTGCAGGTACAACTAGTCAGGTGTGCCACCGTCTACTTGTACCTACGTCTAGTTGTACCTACGACTAGTTGTCCCTAGGCCTCGAGGTACAAGTAGACGTAGGTACAACTAGACGGCGGGACAACGAGACGCGGTCCCAATGGCATAACTCACTGGATCTTTCCAAATATTACATTCATCAACTGTTCCACTAACTTCAAATGTGTCTGTTACATTAATTGCAAACAAATTCACATTTGACTAAGCATGCAAGGGAGCATTATAACATGGACAATATTCATCAGTTGGGATTATTCCAAAGTAGGCCCACATTTTTAGTTTATTCACCAACCCTCTCCTGTTAATCATTATGGTAAAGACATTTTGTTTAAATGTAGTGTAATCTATTATATCATGAAGACTAAGTGCTTTCTGTCTTGGGTAAGTGTGAAATATACTTAACTGAATTGGCTGAAATGTTTTTAGGTAGATCATGAACCTGGCCTATTAACGTCCTTAAAATTGTATATGCCCCGCGGGCGCAAGTTTCAGGATGGTGTTTTTGGAAGTAAATGATGGATCTCCTTTGGCAATAAGAAAGAAAAAACCTTTGTATGCATGTCATTATTAACCAAAATAACTGAAAATTTGCTTAGTGTGCTGGTGTTCTTTGTTCCAGTTCGGATGATCATGAGACGGTCCACTTGTCCGAACATGTGGTCAACATGCACAAGGAGAAGACAGGACCACAGGATTTTGAACTGCGCAAGGTCCTTGGCAAAGGAGGTGAGTCAAATAATTAGTCAATAATCAATCCTGGAGGCAATGATGAATAAATAGGACGCCAGTCAGGCTAAAATTGCCTAAAATACAAGAATGCCAAATTAAAATTATTGAACACTTGTCAGAACATAAATTTTAACAAAATATGCATGGACTTGAACATCATCCCAAACTACGTTCAAGTGAAAGTAAAGAATAAAAGTTTTTCTGCTCAAAAGGCCAAATCATTAGCTGAAAGAATCTGGATAAACAACAAAATTAAATTTCTCTATAGAAAGAAAGACATGCTAAATACCCTACTCTTGAACTCACACATCAACCTTTTAAATGCAATCCACCCTTCTCAAACCAACAACGTCTTATCAAACATTGAAAATCAAATAACTAAAGTCATTCTAAGAAAGAAGGAAACCCAAAAAGTAAATTAGATAAACTCGTAGAACTACAATCCAAACCAATCGAAGCATTCATAGCAAACCATATATTTTTTTCTAGAGTAAAAAATTGCACAGATATAATTTTCACTGAACCTGAACTGAATGTTCTTAATAAAGGACTAAAGCACAACACCTTAAATGGAAAATGGAATATTATAAAACCCTAACCTATGAATTGTTAAATGCTGAGATAGCCATTAGCTCTATCAAAGACGAAAATTCAAAAAATTATGGCAGACAAACCATTGACAATAAAGTCAAATCAATCCTGAATCGGAATAAAAATAAAAATAAACACCTCTAGAGTGATATAAAAACCTTAAAATATATAAAAGAAAAACTAATCACCCATGAATGTATTGCAACTAAAGCTGACAAAGGTCAGTGCATTGTGATCATGAAAACTGACTATTAGAACAACAAAGTTTAAGATTTGATAAACAATAACAATATCAAAGAAATCTCTAAAGATCCTACCGACCTTTTTCAAACAAAAATAAAAAACGCCATAAATAAATCACAACATATCATCATTGGAGACCGTAGCAACTACCTCAAAATGGTTAATCCTAAGGCCCCAATATTGAGGGAATTGCCAAAAGTACACAAAGAGGCCATGCCTATCCGACCTCTGGTAAATTTCACCTCAGCACCTTCCTACAAAATTGCAAAGGTTCTGGACAAAATTCTCAGAAATAACATCAAAATGAACGAGAACCATAGCCTAAAAAAAAGCCTAGCGCTAATAGATTTGCTGAAAGATATTAAAATAGAAAACCGGCATACTTTAGCATCACTGGATATTGTAAACTTATACACCAATGTCCCAATATAGGAAACATTAGAATTAGCCAGAGAAAACCTGTCTACTAACTCCCAACTAAGTAATGACGCTATTAATGAATTAATATACCTACTGAAAACAACACTAGACCAGAACTACTTTACCTTTAACGGGAAGTATTACCTACATGAAGAGGGACTCGCGATGGGCTCTCCGTTATCGAGTCTGCTCTCCGAAATATACCTCAATAGTTTTAAAAACAAAAACATCCTCTTCGACAACAATACATTTTCTAAGAAAATCATCTACTATAAAAGATATGTAGATGACACATTTTTGGTTTTAAATGGCAATCCAAGGCAACTACAACTTTTAAATAATTACTTGAACAATATTACTAAGAACATCAAATTCATGCTCGAAGTCGAAAATAATAATTCAATTAACTTCCTTGATCTTACAATGACCAAAAACAACAACAACATTGCCTACAAAATTTACAGAAAGCCTACAACAACAGACCATACTAACCACGCATAATCTAATCATCCACAATCCCATAAGATGGCCGCTTACAATAGTTTTGTTAATAGGCTTCTAAAAATACCCATGTCCCAAGCTGACTACAATGACGAATATGCATTATTAAAGTGCATAGCCGTCAACAATGGTTATAACAGTAACATTATCGATAATATCATCCGTAAACAAAAAAACAGAAATCAAATAGAAAAGCCCGTTCAAAACTTTGTATCCATAGAATATGGTAGCAATCTACACTTCACCTTGAAAAATGAATTGAAGAAACATAACGTAACTTTAGCGTACAAAACTTTGAATAAATTAGAAAGCCTCCTAAATCCACGTACTACCGAAACAACTCATTCCAACAGCCTAGAGGCCACTGGAGTATATAAACTATCTTGCAGTGACTGTCCCAAAATATATTTAGGACAAACAGGTCGTTCGTTCAAGAAAAGGTCCGAACACCTTCCTAAACCTAAATCGAGAACTCAACACTCCAAGTTCGCTGATCACCTGATTATCGAAAACCACAATGTTAATAGCTGCAATGATAGCCTAAATATTTTACACAAATGTACCAAAGGCTCCTTAATGAATGTTCTAGAAAGTTTAGAAGTCTACAAAGCAACAAAAAAACATCCTCATGACAGTTTAAATGAAAAACTAAATTTTGGCCGTAACATAATATTTGATAGGATTGAAGACATTGATAACGGAAGCGCTCACAATCAGCTGTTTCACCCCCTCCAAGGTCAATGTCAAAAGACAGGAGTTGGTTAGTTGCATCGGTCCGTCACCGCGGTACTTATGGCCGGCCGCAGACAAATACAGACAATACGGGCAGACAAAATTAAACAAAAAGGTTTGTGAAGCTACCAATACCTATACTGAAGTCTGGGAGGCCTTGGTGTGGTCCAGGGTTGTCCGAAGCAGGTCCAAGAGCGGCATCAACGAGGTAGATGGTAGCTGTCATCGTAGGAGCGGTGTAGACAATAGTGTAGCGGGGGACAAATGACTCACTCAGAAATTACATAAAAGAGGGGTATATTGATACATAACTGGTAAAGTGACAGAGTTTACAAAAACAAATTAAATGTTCATTATAGGGAGTTGCGGTAGCGTGCGTCTGGGCGCGACGTCGGTCAGTGCGTGAGTGCCTCTGCGGTGGTGGGGATGCGTCGTCTTCATGACGTCAGAAGCGACAGTACTAGTAGCTCCACAAAATAATATTTAAAACCGAATTCGGTACTAAACAGTCGCCATAGACTAATTTTAGGATTGACGACGTAACAAACTATTTAAACCAATTCCAACAAAATATTTAAAGTGTTTTTTTTTACTTTGACTTAAATGAACACATATAAGTACAAATTTGTAGTATAAAACAGATACTTAACAATAAATATTTACTGTATTGATCAGCTTGTGGGCTTCACTCACCTTAATTTGTTAATCCAGGACTCGTCAGAATGTAACACAACGAAGACACACAACACACACATACACGCACATAAAAAATTGTCCTTGGATTTACTCCGACGTTTCGCAGGACCAAAATAGGTTTCAAAAATAGGAATAAATATTTATTTAAAAACCAAACTTTTGACCAATTTTGATATGATGTGTGTCATTTAAATCTTACTAGTCTATGTCTGGTTTTAAGTCAAAGGTACAGGCTTCTCTATTTTCACCCCACACTGTAAATAACACATGTGATTGTAATTTATTCCTTTTGTTTTGATTTTCTGTTTATATTTCAATGTTATTTCGTCACCAGCATGGCAACCCATAAAGCCCATGTTAATTTTTAAAATTTCAAATACTTTTTGTGCTCATATTTGAGTCGATTTTAATTTTTAAAGGGATTCTGCACATTTAGAGGAAAATATCTTTCTAACAGTATGGATAGATTTCTCCTGCGATACACACGAGCAGAGAAAAAAGGTTTTAAAGAAACATGCTTGCCTATTATTATATAGATTATTTTTTTGTCTATCTTCTATTTCAGGCTATGGTAAAGTGTTCCAAGTCAGAAAGATTACTGGCCAAAACTCAGGAACTATTTACGCAATGAAAGTTCTCCGAAAAGCCGCCATTGTACGCAATCAAAAAGACACAGCGCATACAAAGGCTGAACGGAATATACTTGAAGCCGTTAAGGTAAGGAGACAACGTCTGCCTAATAGTTAATGACTTGCTATCCAAGAGAGGTAAAATTTTAGAAGGTACACATAAATAAGTAGTGATAATTTATCCGTTCATTGGTGATGTTGGACAAAAGCCAAACTATTCAAGGAATGAGTGAGAGGGTGTAAGATAATGAATAGCTGATATAATCGAGCTTAATTCTGCTGTGATCTTGACTGATGCAACTACCAGTCTCAAGGTCAAGAGAAGATGTCTCTACAACCAATAAACTCCTGGATAGTTTGTAGCTATGAATATTATAATTTGAATTCATGAGCTGTAATGCCGCTTATAGCTTATATACTTACGCAACATTTTGTAATAAAACAAACGTATCACTGTAATGGTATTTTTTTTTAAGTCTCAAAAATTTTATGTGCAGCTTATGACACCCAAGCAGTGGTCTGAAAGGCAGTGCTCCGAAAGGCACTGGTCCGAGATTTTCGGACTACTGCCTTTTGGAGCAGTGCCTGACCATTTTAATATAGTTATTGAAAAATTATATTTTTTTAACTTTTCTAACATAATCTCATGCAATACACAATCAAAAGCCTTGGATAGATCACAGAAAATACCAGATACCCTCTGTGATTCATCCAAGGCTTCCAAGATATGCTCAATGTTATTGATATATATATATTTTAATTAACATCAATATTAAAATCAGCAGATCTATATATATAAAGCTCAAATACCACTGACTCATTCATTCATTCACTCACTCATCACAAAATCTCAGAAACCATAAGACCTTGGAACCTGAAACTTGGCAGGCATCTTCCTTTTGGGTAGTAGACGCTCACTAAGTAAGGATTTTACCCTCCGACCTCTGGGCTCCGCCCCAGTGGCTCTAGAGTTTCCCATGTGTACCTTATGAGAAATGGAATTAATGAATCTTAACAGCTGTTTCAATTAAACAAGTTGGTTCTGTTCTATGATGTTCAATAGCATTAAAGTTACAAGGATTACCAACAGGGTGCAGCACTATTATTTTTTTAGATTTACAACAACAACTAATTTGCAACCAAAAGGTGAGTGAGCGTAGCAAACGAACTTCAACCTGGAGGCGAGTTAGCGTAGCGAACGAGCTTCAACCTAAAGGTGAGTGACCGTAGCGAACGAACTTCAACCAGGACGTGATTGAGCCATGCGAACGAGATCATCTTGAAAATTAAGAAGTTAAACGGGGCAAAGCCCGCGGGTTACAGCTAGTATATAAATATGTTTAATTTTTTATTCTTTATACAGTGCAGTCAGAAATTTTTCTAGTTTACTTAAAAACAAAGGTACATTACTCCTATCAGGTTCACTGTAAAGAGAGACAATAATCAAGTTTTGCTTTGGAACCTCAATAGAAGAAGATTCAAATACTAAATCCTGATTGAATATCTCCAAATCTTCCCTTTCTTTAAAATCAATATAATCTTTCAATATTATACATGATCCTCCCTTTACATGGTTCTTTCTATAGTATGCTGTACCTAACTTATATCCAGGAATGGAGTTAAAAAAAAATCCCTGCTCTTCCTTTAACCAATGTTCATTTAGACACAAAAAATTAACAGATGAATTATGTAATAGTATTTTTTAATCGTCAAATTTATCAATAAACCGCCCTTGAATATTCAAATGCGCCAGCCATGAACTTCCTTTACTTTTGAGACGGCTCAAGCTTAAAAGGTTAACATCTTCTGAACTAATTTCTTTTCTACTTTCATGATTTGTTAGGTTTGCAGGGATCTGTTCTGACTCCCCATTGGCCATACCTCCTAAAGTAGTGTTGTATTCTATACTGGATACAATTTCAGTTGTCTTTTCCTTAAATATATAATGTCCTTTAGGAGAGTTGTTTTTAGTCATCCTTGGAGTAGATGAAGAAGGCTGAAGAGTGACTGAAGACTGTATGACACATCCCTCTGATTAGTTGAGCATCTGGTCTTGAACAGTAATCAGTCTCTTTTTCCATCTCACTTCTATCAGGTGTTTCAAATCCGCAGAAGCCTGTGTCAGATGAATTTACTTCAGAGGTTCTGTTGGGTACTTCAGTGCTGAGGTTGATTAGCATCATTGGTATTGTTTCCAGAGTTCACAGATTCTGGAGTATTTTTTTTCGTACCGGAAATTATCTTCTTCTGAGATTGAATCTGCTCGTCCATTGTTGAACTGTCAGAAATTAGATAGTCTGTTTTTTCATCTCCCATTCAGGTACTCCCCTACAGTTAAATTGGTAAATGTTGATAGTCACATCTAGGTCTTGAAAGTTTCTGCTGATGATATTTTTTACAATGCTCCATTTAAGTCCATCAAGTCCACACCCAAACCTTGGCATTGCCAGCGTAGAAACCTTTAACTCCTGGCATTTAGCCTTTAGTCATCTCAGTGAGCTTTGCAAGGTCTCGTAAGTTGCTTTTCCATAGGTGCAATCTTTTGTTACCAAGTAAAATATGTAACGCCCATCAACATTTAAAGATGCACAGCCACCTACATTTACATTCTGTGACTTGAGCTCTGTTACTCCATCAAACTTGCTCTTGAACCTAGCAACAATTCCTTTTTTCATTCCAAAATCCCTTGCACACAATGGGCAAAAGCCTGGTCCATCTGGGTCGCAAACAGGTCAGAATGAACTTCATTGATACATTTCTTTGGGAATTGGATAGCATGAAGTGCATGCAAATTAGTTAACATTCTTGTACTTAGTGCATGAGAGTGACAGAAACATTTTGATGAGTTTTTTTCTTTTTGTAAAAATCAAATTACAAAGAATTTACGTAAATAGATTGTACAGTTAATATTTTTAGTTTGCAGGAGTCTTGATCTTTCAATCCCAGCTATCAATAAAAGCAATGAGTTATAAAATATTGATTATGGTGTCTGGCCGACCTGGAAACTAAAATAATAATGAATGATGGATGATCAGGAATTTGTCCTTGAATTGTACATTTGTTTTGAATGGCAATTTTAATATAATCACCAATAGCCCGTAGCAGAATGTCCACATTCATTCACAGTATTCTGTAGGTTTTATTTTAAAGTTGTATTGTACATAGTAAGAAGAAGGCAATCAAATCCCAGTATGCAGGCCTTAGAACAGACCTTATTTCTGGAATACAACTGCCTGCTTCAGTGTTGTGAGGATAATAAACTAATCTTGAATGCAAACAAAGCCATACTCCTTAAATTTAGCATTTCTCAGCATAGCACATCCACTGACACTGACATACACGTTCTTCTTGATGATACCACTATTTGCCCCTCCCCAGATGTACAGTTCCTTGGTTTAATTCATGATGAGAACCTCAAATTTCACAAGCATATTGAACACGTTTCAAACAAGATATCTGTAGGAACATTCATGCTCCGCACTCTTAAACATACCGTTTCGTCTGAGGTCCTCTTGACAGCCTACTATGGACTTGTTTATCTTTATCTGACTTATGCTGTACCTGTCTGGGGGTGTGAAAGCCAAAGGACTCAGTTCATAATCAAGCTTCAAAATAGGCTCTCCGAACTGTTTTTTCCCTTCACCGTCTTCAATCCTGCAAAGATGTCTTCAGATCACATGAAGTTCTAACTTTCCCTTCCATTTACATTTTAGAAACATTATCATTTATCAAGAAAAACCAATCATCATATAGCTCTCCAAGTATCCATAGCTATCCTCTCCGCAACAATTTCAATTTTTCAGTACCACGACACTCAACCACTTTCTTTCTGAAAAACTTCCATTTCAATGCAGTAAAACATTTTAATGACCTCCCTCTCCCTTTGAAAGCCGAACAGGACATTGGAAAATTCAGGAAATGTACCATGTTCAGGAAGTCCATGTTGATAAATAAGGTCTGCTACAGCGTCCGGGAATTCGCTGGTAGTCTTTAACTTTATTTTAAACATCACAAGGGGTTCTGTGTCACAACCAAAAAACAATTTGTATATAATGATTTAGTAGTTAATTAATGTTGAATATGAGAAGACAGAATAGTATATAATCGTTTTTATTATACATATGATGGTCCATCACTAATCCAGACTAGATGAGTTGGGTTGCAATATTCAACATCCCCCCTCACCAAACTTAGCTAGGTAAAAGTCCTAGGCACTTTTGAAATTTGTGATGTTTTGGTTCGCTTAGTCCTTTAGTAAAAATATCAGCAACCATGTATTCTGTGGGTTGGTAGTTCAATTTTATTTCTCCATTTTGTACTTTTTCCCGTATAAAATGTTCTCTGATATGTTTAGATTTACTTCCTATAATGGAGTTTTTAGCCATTGTAATAGCTGATTGGTTATCACAAAATAGTTCAATGACTTCTTGAGGTCTTCCCATATCATTAATCAATTGTTTTAAATGAATGGCTTCTTTTGCTGCTTCAGTCAATGACATGTATTCCGCTTCACACGTAGACAGAGCTACAGTCCTCTGCTTTTTTGATTCCCAGGAGATTACAGCCCCGCCAAATTTAAAACAGTAACCGGTGTACGATCTCCTGTCTTCACTGCATGCCCAATCTGCATCTGCTGCTCCAATTAATGGCTTTCCTGTTTTGAAAAATTCAAGACACGAGTTCTTTGAGCCTTGCAAATATCTGAGAACCCTCTTTGCAGCAATCCAGTGTTCTTTTCCAAAACAAGAGTTATATCGGCTCAGGTAACTCACAGCATGTGTTATGTCAGGTCTTGTGGCTATTGACAAATACATCAATGAACCGATTAAATTTTGGTATGGGTAGTTACAATCTTTTTCATGTCCTTTAACCAATTTTAGACCTGGTGTTAGTGGAGTTACAGCTGGTTTGCAGTCAGTCATATTGAATTTTTTCAGGACTTCATTTATGTATTTCGTTTGTGACATTGATATCCTTCCATTCTTTCTTGTGAACTCTACCCCCAGACAATAGCTTAGTTCACCTAAATCTCTCATTTCAAAAGTTTTCATGAGCTGGGCTTTGATGTAACTACGGTACTTTTGGTTC